CTTAACGTAGAAACTCTTTAGAACCACCTGGTCAACACCAGGTGAAGGAACCGTTCTGGTGAATCATCACCGACATCACCACCTGCTGCAGAGCAAAGGTCGCGACCTCTGAGCCTGCGAGGCCGGGCTCAGGCTCAGTTCTGCTTCTGGTTCTGTCTCCCAAACGGACTGGGTCTGGGGTTCTGAACACAGTGAACACTGGAATGACTGAGGTTCCTCAGAGGATCGGTTCTGGGTAGAACCAGAGTGTTTTAGGGTCATGTGTGAGTTCAACTTGTTGTAATGTGTAGTTGAACAGAACCAGAACCTGCAGACCAGCAGCAGGTTCCAGCAGAACCGTCGGGTTCCACGGTTCCCTTCCTTCCCCGTTCTGTGCAGAATGCGACCCGTTGGAGGCTTTCTGCTCTGAAACTGGATTTTCCACAGATCTGAGCGTCCTCATACTTCAGCCTGTTTCCTCCCTCACAGTCCCTCTCGGTTCCTCCTCCCTCCCGGTTCTCTCCCCGTTCTCCTCCCCCTCTGAGCCTCTGGATTGGCTGCCAGCGAGCCCAGAGCTCCGCCCCCTTCCTGCTGCTCAGAGGGAGGAGGAGAGTGAAAGTGGAGAACAGCAGCAGACGTGTTGCAACAGATGGATTCGGCTGCAGCGGCGGCTCGGCGGCTGCAGGGAACTCTGGGACGGCGCTGTGGAGGAGAACCTCTGCAGACGTTCTACAAGTTGTGGATTTGATCGCAGGACTTGATGGAGCTGTGATCGTCCTGCTGCTCCTCCTCCAGGAGAACACCTGCTGCCGGATCCTGCAGGAGGCGCCGCGGCAGCAGACGTTCTCTGTCCAGCGACTGTGAGTCTCAGTTCTGCTCTACTTCACTCTGCTGCTCCACTTTGTGCTGCAGTTTTAGGCCACTTGTTCCTGTTAGAACGCCTGTTTGTGCTTCCTGCCGGAGAACACGTGGGAGTGTTTGAGGTCAGAGGATGAATGGAGGGAGGGAAGGAAAATCAGGCAGGGAAGGAAGGAAGGAAAGAGTTCCACCCAGCTCTGCTTTTATTACAATAATCATGTTTCATGTTCCACTTTCCCGACGGAGGAGCACAGCGCCGCTCAGACGGACTAGTAGGAACCGTAAAAACAAACGAGGAGGACGAGAGCAGCAGAACCAAACTCTGTCAGATGGAGCACCTCACAGACCTGAATGTAAGGAACCAACAGGGCTCTCCTCAGTGATACCACAGAAGAACCACGTTTGGTCCTACAAAGACCCGCTGAGCAAAACGTTCTTTAAAAACACTTGTTAAAACGGTTCTTTAAAGAACCCCAAAGACGCCTCAGAGAACCATTAGTTCATAGTTCCTTTAAGCACCATGAGGTTATTTAAGGAACCTTTTCTACAAACATCAGAAAAATGGTTCCTTTAGGGACCATAAATGTTGCTTCAACAGAAACCGGCTCGTCCAGAACTTTCTTCAAGCGTTTTTTAAAAAGAACCTCCAAAGAGCTACAGAACAGTCATATAATGGTTCCTTCACAGGACTCCACAGAACATTCAGGACCAAGCAGTTTACAAAACAGAAACAAAAAATGCTCTAGAAACATGATGAAAGGGTTCCTTCTAGCACCACAGGCAGAACCAGAACCTCAGCAACAATATGGGTTTTGTTTTGTTATTTGAAACGGTTCTTTAAAAAAAGCCACGAGTTCTCTCAGAGAACCATCACAACAGACTTCAAGACCACATAAATGGTGCTTCAGAGAATTTTTGTAAAAATGACAAAAACTCTTTAAAGAACCCTCAAAGGAGAATCACAGAACTATTGAAAGAAATGTTCCTTCAGGTACCATAAGCAGCACTCCAATAGAACATCAATAGGTTCTGTAAGGGACATCTCCTGAAAGCTCTTTAACAAGCCTCTGACGGTGTTTCAAACAGCTCCTTGACACACTACAGGTGGTTCTCCAAAGATCTTCAAAAACTCAAGAAACAGGTTCTTTCAGGAACCACTTTACAGAACTGAAGCCTCGTCGTCGTTTCGTCGTCGGACCGACGCGACTCTGTTCTGACAGGTTTCAGACTCTTTTGAGTTCGTCGTCGTTAACAGCTCGAGTTCTTCACTCGAGCAGCAGAGCATCAGAATAAAGCTCCTTTCAGAACCTCCTGCAGGTAGAACCGGAGTTCTGACTGACACAACATTAGAGCTGCAGACATCCCATAATGCAACACTCTGCACTAGAACATGAAACCACTTCCTGTTTTCACACCTCACAGTCACAAGACGAGACGAACACTAAAGGTTGAACTGTTCTGTTGTCAGTCTGGACTCGGAGCAGAACCATCAGTTCTAAACAGAATCCAGTTCCCACATGTTGGACTTCTAGAATCGTTCATGTGTCGACGATATCAGGAACCAACAGGTTCCCTGTTGTGACGGAAGCCCTGGTTCCTCTGCAGAACCCTCAGAACCAGGGTCACTGCTCTCCACTGAGGAGGTTTCAGAACCAGCTGAACCTTTGTGGTTGTTCTGAGCACCAGAACCATCCAGCAGAACGTGTTCCAGGCTGCTGTTCATGAGACTGACTGGTTTCAGAGGAAACGATCGACTTGGTGCCGACGAGACTTCAGGTCGGTTCGGGTCGGTTCGGGTCGGTTCAGGTCTCCCTGTGTGAGGACAGGAAGTGGTGCTGCTGGTGGTTGTTGTTGTTGTTGTTGTTGAGTTTCTTTGTGTTTCCATAGAGATGCAGAATCCAACAGCTTCAACATGAACTCAGAGCGACAACACAACATGGATACACACA